GCAGAGCCCTCACATCGTGTTAGGTTTTTAGAGCGTTTTTATTAGTTTTTACTTTGCCGGTTGGGGTTGTTTGAGTTGACTTTTTCTCTGCCGCGTCTCGCACATGACTGACAGAGATCAAGCTTCGAGGGGGGTTTAAGGTTTTTGCTGCCGACATCGTGTCTTGGCGAATGTTTCCACGAAAGCAACCACCCACACCACAAGGTTACATGAGAGTCGGGGACAGCAGGTGGCTGATGTGGTGTCGCAGCTTGAGATTCGGGCTGTCAAAGCGAGCAGTCGGCACTTCAGGTTTTGTTTGTGCCTACAAGGTCCATATGGGAGTTTCCGAAAATTAGGGGTACCTTATTTTGGGGCTCTTTTAATAAGGATCCTATTATTTAGGGTACTATATTAGGGTCCCCTATTTTCGGAAACTCCCATATTCTCCGGCCCACTCAAAATGGTTTTCATTGGGTTTGGAGCTGCCATCCGCCAAGGGTGGCCGAGGTAGCGCCGACGGAGTGTAGTCAGCGTAGTCGCTGTAGTGGAACGCCGGGGGAGCTACAGGCCTTCCGGAGTAGCTTCATGAATGGCATTACTTACCCCACTCCAGCCTCAATCCCAAATCCTCGTAGTAACCGTATAGAATCCCATATAGTAGCCCTTAGTATAGAATCCCAGATAGTAACCCTTAGTGTTGAAGGCCTGGGGACCGCGAATGCCACAGGACATTGTATAGTAGAAAGAAGGCTTCATGATCAAGTGCGGAGCTGACTTTCGCATTTTTGTCGTTTGGGCTCCAAAAGGGGAAGGCTACGTAAATGAACCCCTGAGCCATGAATCGGAGATTCAGGAAGTCAAAGATGCGTAGCATAACAAAACCAAGGTTACAGCATACAACCTAAGTTGACGGATGCAAACGCATGTCCGCAGCAGGTTGAACATGTGTGCTTTGCGAAAAAGTCTGAATCGCCGCAGATCAGGTTAGCTATGGATACGCCTTTGCCGTCAGTAGCTGTCAATCCTGATCATCAGGTTATGAGCGCCCAAGCTCAGCCTGCGGCTCCGCAAATAAACGGCTCAGATGGAGCCAGTGGACTGGCAGCAGGGCCAGTGGAGGTGGAAACCGGAGCATCGTGCGCGGGTCAGGGATCGCTCCCGAGATCCGAGCCGATGCAAGTTGATGAAAGCAGTGGAGGAGGCGGTATAGGCGGCGGAGACGCTCGTGTAGGAGCGGAGGCTTCGCTCCAGGCCACGACCTCTACTACAAGACCTTCGGATGATTTGAGCAGTGAGGACCCTGGACAAGGGCAGGTGGCGATGCAGGGATCATGGACTCGCACAGAAACCACTAGCCAAGCTGGTGCACGTGGGGTGGGATCAGCTGATCGGGCCGCGCACTTTCCGGGTGATGCTGTTCCTATGGCATCTGGAGTTGGAGCAGAAGCGGGGATTTTTACTACTCCGCGATCAAGAACGACAACGCCCATGATGAGGGTGGATTCAGAGAGAGCGTCTGGAAGCCACGCAATGCCAGCGTGGATGTCTAGATTGGGTGAGTTTTTCAGAGCGCCACAAGTGACCTGGTTTCCGAGTCCTTTGCAGTCGCCGCCGAGACCGAGGAGCATTTTTGCTCATGGCATGACTGGACCCGAGGAGCCACCGCGCCTGTCTGCACAGGAGTCGCTTTCAGCTGTTATTGGAGAATCAGTTGGGGGTATGAGACCTAAGGGAAATAGAGCTAACCCTACCATAACCACCCCTAGCAGCAGCGACATACCAGCAGAAGCAATTCAAGCAGAAGTGCAGAGACAGCTCAGCGGACTTTTGGACCGCCTGAACTTTGTGGAGGGTGAGAACGCCAGGTTGCAAAGCCAGCTGCTACAAGCCCAGTCGCAGCAGAGGATGTCTAAAGAGGTAGTACCACAAGCAGAAGATGTACCTAAAGGGCACGATCAGGGACTACCTAGTGTACCCGAGCAGTCGGTTCCTCGAGGTGATCCTCCTGGCGTCCATCGACCTTCTTCAGATGCATGGCGTGATCCTCTAGGGGCTTTGTGGGACGAGCTCGCGGCTCGACGAGGGGCTTCGGAGACTGTGCCGGAAAACCTCCGTCCTTCAGGAGTGGAGCCAGAAGCTGCGCCTGGGAACGCAGGCCAGGAGCTAGACGCAACGATGGCTATGCTGCAGGCTTTGACCAAAAGTATGACGCAGCTTCAAGACATGCAAGCTAGATCACTTCAGAAGGGTCTTGATGAAGATGTTCCGGAAGCAGTTAAGTCGGCAGTGACCAACCTTCCGATGCTACCAGCACCTGAAGGACAGTCTACGGGCATTGCTCTACAAGATTGGCTAGCTCAAATAGCAGTGGCAATGCAGGATTTGTCTCCTTCGTCGGGTATCTGGTGGAGCAAAGTGATGGGGATCGTTCAGACGACCTACACAAAATGGCTAGGCAGCACTCCTTTGGAACGACTTCAGCTTCAACCTGTGGGAGGCAGTGCCCTGGCTGAGGGCAAATGGACAAGGGTCAATGCCCGTGCTTGCTCGATGCTTCTTCAGAGCTTGAGTGAGGTGGTAAGACAGGACTTGATTGCTCGCAGGGTTGTCCAGAATGCGGTGCTCATCATGTTTCGGTTGCACACGGCCTACCAACCTGGAGGTGCCTCAGAAAAAACTTTGGTGCTGCAGAACCTTCAGACGCCCGGGGTGTGTGACACTATGGATGATGCCCTAACATGGCTGAGGAGTTGGCCGCGATGGATACAGAGGTGCCAGGATTTGAACATGCTGTGTCCGGACGGAACTGTGTTGGCGAAGACCCTGACCTCTATGACGTCGCGCTTCATCACCGAGAGCGGCGACGCACAGTTCCGCACCCAGCTTCTACGCTCAACCTTACGAATAGATGGGCAGCCAAGCCTGGAGGATGTAAAGAGATACCACCAACATTTGCAAGCTGAGCTGGAATCCTCGAGTTCATCGCGGACGGCCTCTTCCTTGAAGGCTCCTACGGTGAGAGCGATTGGAGCTGGAGCGAGTCCGACGTCCTCGTCGGGATCTCCGTCGGCGAGTGCCTCGGCAAAGGCACCGTGCAAATACTTTTTCCGACCAGCTGGCTGCAGAAGGGGCCAGAAATGTCCGTATGGCCATGATCTCTCAACGCTTCCCAAGCACGAGAAAGCTCGCAAATGTTTGAGTTGTGGTAGTGAAGAACACCGCAATAAGGACTGCCCTACGAAAACCGGAAAGCCCTACACGAGATCTACGCCAACCCCGAATCCTACCGCTACGTCAGGGACTTCACCTACCGCTACATCTACTACAAGCCCGCCCAAAGTGCAGCGACTGGAGCCGGAAGGTGAATCGTCTCCGGGAGGAGGTACGGCAACGGGAGTTGTGACGGGAGAGCCAGTGTGGACTATTGAGTCATTGTTGCAAGCAGCTAACAAGATTGCAGGCGCGGGGCAGCAGAACGGTGGTCCTTCGCTGAACGTTGTGTCGCTAAGGCAACAATGCGCCTTGAGCCGAGGAGGAGCTGGAGATCAAGTTTTCGCTCTGGTAGACTCCGGGGCAACGCATGCTTTGAGAAGGGCATGTTCAGATGAAGAATGGAAGGATGCAGATCCCGTTACCGTGAACCTCGCGGGTGGCCAATCGATCTTCTTGAAGATGAACAAAGCAGGGACTATCCTTGTGCCTACGACATCCTCTACCGCGTTCACGTCTACGGCTCCGATAGTTCCGTTGGGAGCACTGGTGGGTCAACTAGGATACACGATGACCTGGAGCAGTAGCAAGTGTAGGCTGGAGGGGCGAGATGGTGAAGTGTTCAACTTGAGGATTCGGGAGGGCTGCCCCGAGATCACAGAGAGGGACGCCTTAAAGCTGATTGCACGCCTGGAGGATGAGAACCTGGAAACCCTGAAGGCCAACACGAAGGCGACCCGAAGCAGAGTCAAGGCCGCAGCTTTGGCAATGAGCAAAACGTGGTTCGATCATTTGATTTCGTACATAGATGGAGAGCTTTCGAGTGAGGCATGGAAGGCTATTGAAACGGCTCCTTTCTTTCAGGATGTTCCTCGTCCTTGCGTTGCAGGCCTAGTTGAGTCTGTGCCAGAAGCCAATGGTTGGGATGTCCTTCGTGGCCTGGAGCATTTGAACAGACGGGCTCGCAAGAAGTTGTGGGCGTCAAAGAAGTGGTTTGTTCACTTGTATTCGGGAGAGCGTGATCGGCAAGAGTTTCGGCACCTAGAGAGCCATGGCTATGCAGTGCTGGAGTTGGATATAGCTAGAGGGCGAACGCAAGATGTTCTGAGGCCATCAGTGTGGAGAGTGTTGGAGTTCGCGGCTAGAAAGGGGAAGATAGCTGGTATAGTCGGAGGCCCACCACAAGGGAGTTTCATGATCTCGAGGCACGTCATTGCCGGCCCAGAACCGTTAAGAAGCAATGAGTTCCCGTACGGTAACTGGCCTGGTCAGTCCGATGCTGATGTGTTCAAGGTGAACCGTGAGACCCAGCTGCTGGTGAGAATGATCTACCTGCACGCGCTGTCAACAGCGGGCCGCCTGAGGGCCAATATCGATCCGGACCTGTCAAGGGAAGTGGCTTTTCTGTTGGAGCATCCAAGAGATCCACGAGGGTATCTTAAATTCGGCGATCCCTTGTACCCGGACGTTGTGAGTTTTTGGAGGACTCCGTTGTGGTCTGAGTATGCGCTTGAAGCAGGGCTAGACTACTACAACTTTGATATGGCGGCGCTAGGAAAGTACTTCACGAGACATACTACAATTGGGACCAACCTACCTCTACGGCATCTTGATGGACTGAGAATGAGGTACTATTCAGATGGTCCAGTCGCGGTCAAGGCTCCCCCTAGCGTGTGGCCGGCTGAGTTTGTTGAGCACCTGGTGATTGCGCTGCGAAACTGGGGCAAGGTACCTCGTATGTTACGAATGAGTGCCGAGCAATGGAGGGAACATGTGCGGCGAGGTCACCTACCATATAGGGCTGATTG